GCATAGCATAGAAAGAATGATTGCATTTGCTTCCTCCTGGCGACGCAGCTGGCTATCGTCCATCGCCTGTTGTTACCTAAAACTTCAATGAGGGAATTAGGATTTGCAACATACATGTTTTGACTGGCTTCTTTTCCTGGAAAAGGCACATTCGCCATATGACGCTGATGTAAAATAGACCACGCTGCGCCTCACTTAGGATCAATGCTCACCCTCTTCATAAATTCTAATTTCAGAGCTGTGACCCTGGTGAATTTTCATATCAATTTTCGTGCGTGCGTCAAAGAACAGGTGCCGCAAATCGCACCACAAAAATAGGTAAAATCCCCGATTGGCTCCTGCAAGTGTCTAATTTACGGGTGACTTCCCACCCACTGATCGAATTACTCTGCTTATAGTGACCTCAATAACAAAAACAACTTTCCAAAATTTTCAAATAAAAGCCTGTGTGTGTGTTAGTAGCGGCTAGGAAGTGCCCTCTGAACGAGATGAGACTCCTGCTCTTGCTACTTCTGGGTTAGTTAGTACAATTTTCCCTATATGTAGGGATTTGGGGGAACCGGATTTCAAATTGCGCAATAAAACATTAGGGCCTTATTTGACATACACTTTCGGAATATCATGAAGCGCAAACTGTGTGGCAATTTGCCTTTAAGTAATAGCACTTAGTGTGTTGCCACTCGAAGGCAGCATGATTTGTTAGGTCTTGCCTCATGTCACGGATATCTTCTCCAAACGTAGACTTTAGAGGTCAATGTTGAGATTTTATCAGAGCGAAGTAAATCTAATCTAACCTTTGCGTTGACCTTCCCCCAAGATTAAACCTGCTAGTTCTGTATATTAATGTACGCAGAATTGAACATTACTAAAAAATTATGCATGCTGTCAGCAACCGATCTCATGAAATGTAAACTGAAATTCCAAAATGTGTTTTGATTAAAAAGGATTACTAAGGTATGGTTATTATAGTGATTATCTTGTGGCTTAACCCCGCAATATTCCAGACACGTCCAGATGTTAGTTGGTGAATGAACCTTTTTCGACCACCTGAGAAAACCACACACATCAAAATTGGCTACCTATATAGTACACACTTTTCAATTGATTTCCGATACTCTTAAAAACTCAAAAATATTTTGCAGAAAACACGCATCAAAATTCTTTCTTAAACTCAGTTGGTAGCATTTAGCGTCTTCTCCAAATTTCGCACTCGAAGGAAGGGTATAATTCGGTTTTAAACGGGTTCTAATTATGAGATTTTTATGACCGTGCAATGGCAACTTGAGTTGCTCCTCATCTGTCTGTTAACATAACGCCCGTCATTAAGTAGACAATATAGTTCACATTGGCTGCAACATTTAGATGGTATATTCCTAGTGGAATATATGTTGTTCCTTACACGGAGAGCGTACAGCTTGAAGACCAAAAACCATTGACGAGAAAGGAACGACAAATGGAATTCGAAACCAGTTGGGAATTAAAGTTTTTTTAAAACCCAAGATATCCTTTCTTTAGGTAAAAACTTTGTAGAAGACATGACGAACTGCGAAGTGGTATTTGTTTGGTGGTTTTCTATAAAATGTGCTTAAATTTACTAGGACATTGCAAATTGATAGCGACCATGCATATTACATAAGGTTTCATTCTTTCCGCGTGATGTTTTGCATTTCTAAGCCAGTACCCCGAAACATCAAGGGATCACGTCACAAGATAATCAGTCTTAGTAATCCTTCCTGGTCGAAAATGCGTTTTAGAATTTCAAAATTAATAGTGTCATTTGCGTGAACATTCGACTACCGTTATCCTGTAATTGGTAGTTATTTTTTGCATCTTTGAGTAAATTTAAAGAAATGGGGAGTACTGTGAACAAGGTCGATCTCCAAAAAATGGTTTCCATAGTGATTATAACATATGTCTCAGCGCAGGAACTATATTCAGCAAACCTTTCGTCGTAGAGCTGGCTGAAATATCATAAACGCATTAGGTTTATGCTAAATTAACTTATACACCTAGACCTAAAAGAGTAATTAACACGCTAAATCACAAACACTGCAGTTTCAAAAAACCCGTAACTTACGTAAAATTGAGGGTATAGCAATGCTGCCTGCAGCATTTTACGCATTAAAAAGCAACTAATGTATAACTGTTGACAAATGAAAAATTACAGTTTTTAACGACTCTATTCTCGACATTGGGGAGCGAAGACGCGGCAAGGCACCTTAGTAAATGTGACAGCATTGGTATCAGCAATAACAGGCCATGGTTAAGACACACTTAATTCAGTATAGGACTACGCTTTCGCCAATTACACTCATTCTATTAATAAGAAGGCTATGGCTTGGTGTGGTAAGGCAAATATTTCCTAGTTTTTAATATTGAAACTAGAATTTCGCCCCAGTTGTTTGCAAAATAACATGAACTGGTGATCCGGAGCGGAGTCATAATCCGTTTTTTAATCTTCTGATGCAGAAGACGTTCGCAGTTGTCCGTAAAACTTTCGCGCCAAGAGCGAATGCTTACTCTGCAATGCGTTGATTGCTTTCTCGGTTAATCAAAACATCTAACAATTGTCGCCAGGAAAAAGACTTTTCTGGCCTAAGATGGAGTATACCCTGAAACCCGCAAAATAGCTATAGTGAAAAATATTTTCCTGTGCGCATATAAATTACGTAGCAGGTAATTTAGTCCCCAAGAGCTCTTCGTCCATCTCCAAGCACTTGCGATTTTTATTCGTAGTGGTTTTTTTACGCAACCGCATTTTACCCATCCACCTAGGTGATCTGCCTTTTGACAGGTCAAAACGCGCATTGCAGTTAGACTGACCTTAGTATAACCTAACACTTCTCTTTCCCATGAATTTAAACTGAGTTTTTCAAAAGGATAAAAGCGTGTGCAACGGGCACGGCATATTTCGACACTGATATCCAAACGTTTTTCTATTTTGAGAATGCATCAGTCGTAGATTTCAAGGATATAAATACTAGGTATTTGACTTTTAAAACCAGAAACAATCAACAAGATCGCCTAAAACATCAGTACGCCAAAGAATACATAGCATAAAAAATTAACAAAATCATTAGGGACATTATTGTGCAAATATTTTGAAAAAATACGAAACACTAAAGGTGGTTAGTCGAAGTAAATGTTGTCTTTCATTCCTTCTTTTTAGCCCTACTGGGAACGCAAGAAGTCTATGGATCACGTAAGGAAAACGCAGCACACTCTGCTAGTGATAAAATATGAATTATTAATGAAATGCCAGACAAGAAGAGAAACAGAAATCAATTATTCGGAAATAAGCTCACGTAATATTGTAGACAACTCAGAAGATCACGAAGCGAAATATGTAATTTAGAAAATACATGAACATAATCAAAAGAAACATTAAGAGCAGGACAGCATAATTAAGTTAAACAAAGAAATCGCAAAGACAATACAAAGAATTACAAGAAAAGGAATAACAGACAAAAACACAGTACAAAAGAAAAAAAGAAAAAGAAAAAAATAATAAAAAAAGACAGAGAAGAAAAGAAAAATAAGAAGAAAAAAAGTAAAAAATAAAGTAAATGTGCAAACGAAAAAAAGTGAAAAAAAGCACGAAGAAGAAATACAAGAAACTATATTGCCAACCCTCATGACTCTGCTTCCCTGCCCATTTTTCAGATCACATGACTGATGCCTATGGGGAATATTCAGAGGAGCAGGACGATGAAGATCATGAGTCAGGGCATGCAGGTAGGCAAGGCCGCTGGCATTACTATAGACCTCCACTTACGCCATTCTCAGGCGGCATCGCTCATCACGAGACATTATCATTTCCCATCACATTGCCATACATTGCTCACTGGACAACCACCTACCTACATCCCTACCTACCGGCATTTAGGCTACATATATATTTCACGCAAACTTAGATATATTCCTACCTGTGACAGTTCGACCATCGATTTGTATGATGTCCACCGTATGCCTCACAGCAGGTGGGAGCAGGGACGGTGACTTTCGCAGGGTTTATATTGCCAGTAGACTTGCGCTGCATCAATCTTCACTCTCTCCTCCTCCCCCACCTGAGCCCGATGTCAAGACAGTGTCGAGAAGATCGGAGACGAGAGAACCGCAGGTGGATGGCTCGGACGGATCATTACCTAGGCGTTCCACCACACCCCCTGGTCCACACAACAAATAAACATGATTTCAACCAACTTAACAGAGTTTTGGAGGCTGGCACGGCCGAAGCCGCACTTAGGCGTGCCGCCAACGCCTGGCTCGGATCCCACACTGTGGTGGGAGTGCCATAAAGGCCACATTAAGAAGGATCCATTTCAGCCTGACTCTCAGATTGCCTCAATTGAAGGAGGAGTTCCAAGGTACCCCGTCAGTTGGCAATCTTCCAAGCCACGGCTTTTAGCGCACCGTGATAGCTTCAAGCGCGTCAGATTGTTTATAGTGAGGAAAATGCGCTGAGTCGTCGACCTCACTCTCCCTTCCCATCCCCACACCTCAGCCGCTGTCCGAGCCGGTCAGCAGACTGAAGTGGGAAATGGGCGCGGTGGCTGACACGGTCGACTGACCATGCCTGCGTGCGCCACAGCGCGACCTTGCCCCCCATACACACAAACATCAGGATTTCACACAACGGGGGTTGGACGGCGTGTCTCTCACTTGCGTCAGAGGGCTGTTGAAGGTGCTGTTTCAGCTCGCTGCCCAGCCTACCAGTCCGCCACTACACATAACACACACACAACGCGACGAACTGCGTGAACCGAGAGCGGGCGTCAATCAGGAACCTTCCTATCCACGACGCTTGACGTGTCGGGGTAGTCTCGGACTCAAGTGAACCCTGCAGCCGAAGGCGCATGAGGACCGATTTGAGATGTACACTTCCCACTTGCGTGGAAGGTGACAGTTGGGTGCTTGCGCTGGGTGACTTTTGATGCGTGGTGGGGTGATGGTGGAGGAAGGTAGGGAGTGAGTGAATGTGTGCTGTGGCCGGCGGTTGTCTACCGCAGGTCGTCGTGGATGCGCATGTGGCCGAATAGGCCCATGCGATGCCTGAAGGTGCGAGGGCTGTGTGGGCAGTTGAGACGAGCTTGGTGAGTATAGGTTGGTGCTCCAGGCACTGGTTCTCCAGTCTCTGTGCGATGGATTCGTGAGTGACCGACCAGGCCGATGCGTGAGGTAAATGTGCGTGGACACTGTGGGCCTGAGAAATCGGCGGTGTCAGTGTCACCTACAGATGAGGTGGTGGTGGTGGCGCGGACGTGTGGAGCGGGTGTGGGGTTTAGCACGGTTGATGAGTCGGATGTGGTGGGTGTGTCAGGAGTGCGGTCAATGCCGCTCTCTTGGATGCGCATGTGGCCGAATAGGCTCATGCGATGCCGGAAGGTGCGAGGGCAGTGTGGGCAGTGAAGGCGAGTGCGGTGGGTGTAGGTTGGTGCTCCAGGCACTGGTTCGCCAGTCTCTGTGCGATGGATTCGCAAGTGACCGACCAGGCCGATGCGTGAGGTGAAGATGCGGTCGCAGTGAGGGCAGGTGTAGTCCTGCTTCTCATCGCTGGAGTCGGGGGAGGTGGTGGTGGTGGCGTCGGTTGTTGCGCGCGTGACAGTCGCCTGAGCGGCCGCCGTTGGAGCAGTGGAGGAGGAGGAGGAAGATGGAAGTGGTGGTTCAGAAGAATTGTCAGAGTTAGTTGGCGGCGGCGGGGAGGAAGAGTCGGGCGGGGGGACGACTGTTGGTGCAGTTTGAGAGGCGCAGTTGGTCTGAAGATGTCCAACAAGTCCGATTGGAGCCCGGAATGTCCGTTGACATCGAGGACACGTTGGAAGCGTTTGTGAGGCGACGTTGCGTATTGGGCGAAGTAGTGATTTGCGGGCTTCGCGTTTTGCTTTGGCGGTGGCGATGCGGTTGGCTTCGTGGATAGCAGCGCCCGTCTTCACTGTTCTCCTCCATGTCGGACGATCGCGAGCGAGTTCTTCCCAGTTGGTCGGGTTGATTTGCAGACGCTTCAGGGAGGACTTCAGGGTATCCTTGTAACAGCGAATTTGGCCTCCTTGACGGCAAGAACCCGTCGCGACGTCTCCGGAGAAGAGTCGTCTGGGTAGACGCTCGTCGTCCATGCGCACCAGGTGGCCGCTCGAGCGCAACTGCATTTGCCTCAGCAAGGAGTGGATGCTGAGCATTCCCGTACGTGCCATCACATCAGTGTCGGGGACGCGATCCTGCCAGTTCAGGTTCAGGATGCGACGGAGACAACTGAGGTGGAAGTGATTCAGTGGGCGCGCCTGCCTCATGTAAACCGTCAACGTCTCCGCTCCATAAAGAAGCGTCGGCAGGATAACGGCCTTGTACATGTTCAACTTCCTGCTAACTTGAAGACCGCAGCGATTCCAAACTGTGCTTTGGAAGCGACCGAAGTATTGACAGGCAGTCGAGATCCTGTTGGCGACATAGTAAACCATCCGGGTGTTCCGGGAGAGGGTACTGCCAAGGAACGGGAAAACATGAAAGAATGAAAACACACATAAAAATGAAAACACACAAACACATGCATAGACATAAAGGCTTTCTGGTCCGTACTGCTGCAATAAGTACACTATGCCCCATATAATCTTGGTATGGAATAGAGTGATGGTCAATTGCTGATGAGGAGAAATGAGGCAGGCCTGAGATGCCATTATGATTGATGCGTACATATTGCCAACCCTCATGACTCTGCTGCCCTGCCCATTTTTCAGATCACATGACTGATGCCTATGGGGAATATTCAGAGGAGCAGGACGATGAAGATCATGAGTCAGGGCATGCAGGTAGGCAAGGCCGCTAGCATTACTATAGACCTCCTCTTACGCCATTCTCAGGCGGCATCGCTAATCACGAGACATTCTCATTTCCCATCACATTGCCATGCATTGCTCACTGGTCAAACAGCTACCTAAATATCGGCAAACATTCTACATATATATTTCACGCAAACATAGAGATATTCCTACC